TAGTTGTAATGAGGATGAGAACTAGGACAAATGAAGATTTTGGAATAAAATTTTTCATTTTTTTAAATTTATTATATGTTTAATTTAAAGATTATTATTATTAATATTGAAAATAAAATTTAATTTATTAATATTAAAAAAAAAAAAAAAAAGCAAGGAATAAATCTGTTTCTTTTATATATATTTTTTTTCCTATTTTTTTGATTTATTGTTTTTATTTTTGGGTAACAAGCGAGCGAAAAGAAATATGGAAATCGCTCAACGATAATAATCATAAAAGACATCGTCATTGTGAACATTTGATTTCTCTATTTCTCGGTTATAATCAAACCATAAAGGATAGCTGTTGTTTTCTTTATTGTTCGGTTATAAATCAATCATAAAACCATGTTAATAAATAAGCACTATTTTTTAACAAGGGTTTCAATTAAGCGGTCATGTAATAATAGTATAAATGTATAAAAAAAAAGATTCTTGTTTGATCCACACAATAAGAAATGCACCAACACATAGCTGATTTCTTTTAATTGAGAATGAAACTACAAAAAAAAATTGTCGATTGATTGATAACGTTTAACAATAATAAACGTAATATTTTTATATTACAATTTTAGAATATTTTATTAAAAAACTAAAGGGCAATTGTTATTTATACATAGAATAATATTTAAATTTCAGTCAACAATATTATTGTTCTTGAAAACCATAATTAGCCATATTACAAAAGTTTTCGGAGATAGTTCAATAAAAAATGTAAATTTATTTATTAAAAATATTATTAAAATTTTTCCGTATGCGCGTCTTCTTTTAAAGACATATATATGGAAATAGCAATGCGATCATCACAATGCTTTTAATTAAAATCAATAAATGGACCAATCAGACTTTTTAAAACACCAACATTGTATTTTATTATTATTATTACTGTACTGTATTACTGTTTAATGATGATGCGTAATTCTTAGATATGTAATTTTTTGTCACCATTTTTTCACGAGTATATGACATTTCTTGAATTTTCTAGAAGTTTTATATTGGCTGCTTTTGAGAACGACTATTACCATTACCATTATAAAATTCATTCAAGTTACATACTTATTATCTTGTCTGAAACTGTGTTTTGCATAAACAACATCTTTTAGAATCAGCATATCTGAAAGGATAAATCCTTGTTGTTCGGTCAAAGGAATAAAGGATCTAGAGGTTGCGCCCAAATGAAAAATATCCGAATATTCAGTGAATATTTGGTTAATTGGATATTTAATTTCTTTCATTGATTGACTGACCAAACATAATAAATTAAAAGTGGATATTCGGTGAATAACCAACCGATAATCAATATCTTGTGTAATTGGACTTTTCTCATGTCCAAATAAGTTCTCATTTCTAAACCATTCATTTAAAATGAAAGAAAATCTTTCAGTCTCTATAATAGGAAACAATAATAATACAATAAATGAGAGAGGAAAAGTCTTTTGCGGCTCATATTTGGAAGTAAAGTATGGTTCTAATAAGTCAAGTTGGATATGGAAAAATGATTCGTTACTGTGATGAAACATAATAAAAATAGTTTTCCAGTTTTGTCAAAGTCAATGATAATTGTGTGTATGTGTGTACTTACAACGTCTACTCCGGTTGAGAGATTATTTAGTCAACTGGAAAGTCAATATGAACAAAACTTAATACACCTTTATTTGGAAAGTTGGAAAGATTGTTTTTGATCAATTATTCACTGAACAATCGATTTAATGATCAAATGAATATCTGAATATTTTAATTATTCATGAAATGATTATCTGGATATCGAAATTTAATAATTTAATTGAATATTCAATGGATAAAATATATCCAAGAATAAAATGCTGAAAATATAAAAAATATATTAATATTAATATTAATATTAATGTTAATGTTGTACGTGAAAATGAAATTATGTGAATTCATGTGAAATTCAAATTAGCCAATCAGAATTTCACCTCACTCCATAATTTCATTAGAATGGATTTATTGGGAATTTGTACAACATCACCATTATGGTTTCTTTTATTCTAATCATGGAATTGTTATCGTTGGTATTGTTATCAAAAATTTTATGGCCGATGATGTTTTTGGCATGCAAATTATCTCTGTTTTTAAACTTTCATTTAATTGTTAATTTTTGCGATTTAAATATAAAAATTCTGTGTACCCTTGAACGCAATATTTATAATAAAAGATTTGGATTTAATTCGAAGTTCACATCGAGAAATAGAAATACTTTCCTTTCCCTTTTTTTTTTTCATTAAAATCAATATACAAAAATGTTTGCTGACTTATTCAGGAAGAGAGTTGAGCCAAAATCGATTATATGTCTTAGACGTACTACAATTTTTATGGCGATTTTAGTGTTAACTCTTTTCTTTGTGGTGTTGGTGATGAAGCTAGGTGATGAACAGCCTACTATTACTACCTCATATTTAAAATCGGCAATTGATGATCAAGTTAGTCTACCCGCACCAGGTAAAAATAGTTTAAGTTAAAAAATAAATCATCAAAATCAAATCAAATGACTTTTTTTCTAATATATATCAAAACCATGAATGAATGCAGCCATCTACTTCAGTTTTCAGGAATATTTTACCATCCGTTGTCTGATCACTTATGATAGAAGTAAGTAGAGTTATATGATAATTGTTTTGTTGTTAATTTTTTCACAATAACTGACACGAAATGTTCAAAAGTAAACCCGGGAGATTGCCAACAATTTGTTACACAACCAAAACAATCAACTCATGGTACTTACGGTCGTCCCTATGTTGGAAAATTTGCACCAAAAGATTTAAACTTGGCCCGTGAAGATGAACAAGGGAAACCTTTTTTTTTTATTCTTATCGTACAAGTGGACCCCTTATATTATGGATCTAATTATACCATGGCGATGAATGTATTTGATTCAGGTAAATTTTTTCATAAAATCGATTGCAGACATTGATTATTTTTCACTGTTTGATAATAATCATATGGTAATAAATAATTAGAATTTGATCCATGGAGCGATGATTTTGATCAAAGTAAAATGACTCCATTTGTCGAATCTTTTGACTCAATGAATTACTATGTTACACCAAGTGGAGTGGTATGTATTTGAGATTGATCATTGTTTTAAAAAAGAGGAATAAATTTTGCGAATTGACAATATGATTAACAATCAATAGGGATACCTACTCGAGTACTCTAGAAGAATCAGAAAAACTCTACCCGATACAAAAGCAAATTTGATTGGTTTTCGAACACCGAAATACAATGAAGTAAAGTACATTGAATCAGAAATACGTAAGAATATTTGTTTTATTGCATATTTTTTTTTAATCACAGTATGTGTGTACTTTTAAACCTGATTTTATTTGTGATTCTGACCAATAACCACAGAGACTATCAATAGGAACTACACAGGCGCGTTTGCAAATTTCAAAGTTATGGTGCAGGACTTTAGTGTGGCAGTGGAACAAGAACAAAGGTAAAAACTATACTGAGCAATATATTTTGCTGATGTTGTATTATGTCCTTGATAACACACATTTGTATACGCATTTTACAAATAATAACAATGTACAATAGGATCAATTCTGTAAGTAATAAATATTCAAGGATTCGTTTTTTTGAGAGATTCGTCACACAAAATAGTAATAAATTAATTGTTTTGATTAATAGTTGATAACCGTATTAGGGACTATTGCTGGTTATTATAGCATTCTTGTGGCTATTTATATATTTTTATTTGGTAAGCTTGAACTTTTTTGTATTAAATTATTGCGTTACATAATTTGCTCACTTATTTCAAAAAATTCTTAGGTGCTAGTTCGATCAATCCATGGGGTTTTGTGCATAAAGGAGGTTACATATTCAAACGACTCAAAAATGAAACCGAAAAAAAGATCGGAAAGGAACTTGAACTCAAAAAGAAAACCGAAAATGAATCTCCTGATCAGATAATAGTTGCGACGGTGGATCAACACAGAGGAAAAGTAGATATTTCAAACAAACTGGAGAAAAGAATTGAAGTTTTGGAAAGTTTTCAAATCTTTGTTGAACAAAATTTTATTGACACTTCATTAATAGACTCCGTTAAAAAAGACAAGCCAAAAGAAACGAGCAACTAACAAGATTTTTTATTTTTAGTAAAATAATATTTGATGGATTAATATTAATAATCTATTCTCTCAATATTCATAATTATTATTTCTTATTTCAATAAATTGTTTATATTATAAATACTATAAATTGATTGGACTGATAAAAAAATCAAGCCTTTTATAAGTTTACAATGTAATCATAGATATCCGTCTATGTGTGTGTAAAATGTATGTGCAAAGAATAAATATATCGAACGTTACCTTGGAGGCGATTATAAACAATACAGTCAAACTTCCATAAGTGTACCTCCTCGAGAATGAGGTACAGCGTGCATTTATAGAGGGTGTGAGAAACAATTTCATTGGTTGCACGTTATACACAATATTTTAAAAAAAAAATTTATGTTTATTATTTATTTATATTTAAAAACTTAATTAATATTAAAATAACTATCCATTGTAGTTTGTTTCGATGAACTTACTTTTTTTACACTGATATAGCTTTCGATTTTTTGTTCTCTAGCATTTTCTTGCTGTAATAAAAATTATGAACAAGTATTTCCGTTGTATAATTACAAAGCTATAATGATAATTAACAAATAATTTCATTGTAAAAATACAATGCAACAAATAAAAATATATGATTTTATTATAAATTACAAAGATTGTAATATAACAAAAATTTTTGTTATAAAATTATGTGATGAAAGAAAATAATAAATATCGAACAAAATTATTTTGCTTACACGAAGCAATTGGGATTATATTGTTATTATCTATTTGGAAATTATCCAATCAAATCAAAAATTTATTATCCTAGTTACACGATGAATTTTATACCTTGGTCACGTGGACTGAAATATACTGTGCAGCGCAGAGTACGGAGGGTGCTCTTATGGAGGTCTGACTGTATTTTTTTTGTAATTTCCATGCGTACTTTTTTTGAATTTTTAAGATTGAGAGAGACTTTAAACAAGAAAAATAGGTGTTTATTATGTTGAAAGAAAATATTTATTATAACCGATTCATTTTTTTTATATCTTTTTTGATAAGTGTTTTTTTATGTATTGATACCAGTCTTTTCAAATCTAGATAAATAGATCCCAATCTGCCAGTTAAACTATCCCTAGAGATGGGCAGATCAGTACTATACGTAAAGTATTGTATAGTATCGTATAGTGTTCAACTATACGTCATTTGCCCATCTCTAACTATCCCTTTCATGAACCAGCAACATTCACATCATTCACCATTCACACCAAAAAATTGCACATCTAAAATTTTAATATTTAATCCCTATAAAAAACAAAATACGGAAAAGATACGAAATAAGCCGTATGGAAAATACGGAATTTTAAATAATAAACAACACGTATTAGTATGGAAAGTACGGGAATATGCAAATTTCCGTATCAATGTCCGTATCAAAAGTACGGAATTGATACGGAATTGATACCGAAACAATACGGAAATAATACTGACTAAACGTATTTTAGTTAATGGTAAACGTGTTTTAATTAATGGTAAAACGTGTTTTAGTTACTGAAATCATACAGAAAATTAATATAGATTTAAAATAAAAATTTGTTTAATTCCTTTTTTTTTTGAAAAATACAAATAAAAAATATCAAAAACAGTATGAATTATAACATGAATATGAAGTTGAAGTTAAAACCCAAAAGTTGAAATATTTTAACTTGAGAGGCCAAAATCAAATCAAAATGGACAAAAAATTAATCAAAAACTTCAAATTACCATAATTTGGTCAATATCTGGCTGTTTGGATAAAACAACTACCATTCAAATTCTCTTGATGAGATGTCTAGTCTAATTCATAAAATTCAGATCACTGATTAGTGAGATGTTTTTATTATGGTATGAATATTAAAATACCGGACCCGGACACTTTACCGACAGGACACTTTATCGACAAGACACTTTACCGACAAGTATTGTGTTAACAATTTGCCAAGGACTGTGTGAGGACCTGGATAACTAGCTAAAAGATTGGTTTTTTACAACAAGTTAAATCAACCGTTAATTAACTAATAACACCACTTATTATTCTTAATTTGCATCAAAAACCAGTTCATAAAAATACAATATAGATAAATGTGTAATATTTTTTTTTTGTCTGACAAAATTGATAAAAATTGCATATTCATGTTATTAAATTTATTTACAAAAAACTTTTATTGTGATTATTATTTTTATACAAAAAAAAAAAATAAAAAAAATTTTAAAATGAAATATTATGGGCAATGCCCCGAAGTTGATCTAATGTTACGGTCATTTAATACTGTTTGAATCAGTATTTCACGATTACGATCTTGTGGTTTCTGTGGGGGTCGTGGTGTTCCTCGCAAGACCATTTCTACGTCAAGTTCGACTTTACTTTGATTGTCGGTAAAGTGTCCCAGACCCCATTACTTATCACATACTGATATTGTTGTTATTATTATATTCTTAGTTTGAACAAAAATCAAACAAAAATATTGGAGTTGGTGAATAAATATGTGACAAAGATTGCATTTTTTATATTTAATTGTTTATTAAATCATTTTTTCATGATATTATTATTAATTGCATACTGATGTTGTTGTTATTATCATTATTCCTAAGATGATTTAATTTAGTCAAAAATTGATAGTTGGAGTTATAGCAAGATTATATTTTATTGTTTTTTTATTACATACTATCTTGTTATATTTTTAGATGATCCAACATATCCAAACATCAAGCTTCAATTAAAGAGTTGGCAGGTAAATATGAGGCGAAGACTACAATCTTATATTTGATTATTAATTGTTTCACACATACATACTATACATGAAGTTGAAATGGTCGAAATTATGTCATATCACACGAGAACCAGTGATCCAACTTTAATGAACACAGCTTATTAGAATAGTCTCGTAAAGGTGATTCAAATAATGATATTGTGTAAAATTATTTAATAAATATAAAAAATACAATCTCCCACCACACCACATGTTTATTCATCAACTCCAAGTTATCATCCGATTATAGTATATTAAATATGAAAAATAATCTTAATACAATGCAAAATGTGATAAGCCATCAAATCTACCTAATATACAAGTGGATCCTTCAATTGAAGGCAAATCTTTCTATTAGTAATATTATGTTGCACTATTATAATTATACCACTACCATATATTTCTTTGTCTATTACGAGGAAAGTTAAAATAGCTGTTTTCCGCTTTGGATGATTCCTAGAAAGCTCTCTAATTGAATGTCTAAGCCATGCTACATATTAAATATATAAAAGGAACTTCGAGTAAAAAAATATATAGTTATATAAAATAATAATACAGTGTATAACAAAAAAAAAATTGGAAAATTTTATTTGTTTGCTTTCAATATTGATTGAATAAAAACGGGCAAAAAACATATCAAAAGGAAACTGAAAATCTGAAGTTTCTATTAATATAAATTTGATATGAAAATTTTTTTTAATTGCTTTCAATATTAAGTGACAAAGTTAATTTTTGATCCATTAAAAATCCAATTATAAAAATCTGTGAACTCATTTTCACTAATTTGCCAAAAATCATTCCAATTTTCAGGATTTTTTAGCATTTGTTACTTTATGCCTCATTTAATAATTTCACCAAAATTTTTGATGTTTCAATACATAAACATTGTTGAATAATCATCATATAACCAACAGAAGGTTTTTAAGTTGGAGCTCTTGTGGGTAAATTTCGAACTTAAAATAATAAACTTTCAGACATACTATTTAAATCAAAATAGCTTCTTAATCTTTGTAACAACTTCAGGAATGATCTTTATATGGAAAAGTGTGGTAATTTGCTACCGGAAAGAATTCTTTTCCTTACACACTGTAAATGTCAATTTCGAGGAAAGTTAAAAATAGTTGTTCTCCACTTTTGCTGATTTCTAGAAAGCTCTCTAATAGAGTTATCTAACCATACTGCATATATATATAAAAGAAAAAAATGTTGTTAATGTTTATATAATAATAATAATTGTTTTTATATTAATATTACTATTTATTGATATGATGAAATACTATAATAATTTAATGTATTCTTTATATGATTACTTTTCAGTATTTTACCCGCTATTATGGTTGGCTCGGTCTAAAGACCTCCTATTGCTGCGCCATGTGGCTAAATTTCAAAATATATAGTAATTTTGTAATTCGTTCAAAAATGTAATAAAAAATAGGATTTCACGTGATTTTAGTTTTCTTACTGCCAAATTTAGATACGATAGTCAAGATCTAGTCTAAATTTGGTAATATTTTTTCTAAATTTAGAAATGATCTTAGTGGACAAATTCCTCGCGAGCATAGTAAAGTACATGTTTTAAAAAAGAATAGAACTCTACAACAAATAATTTTTT